GCTGTGACCCTTTAATCTTCTCAAGGCAGTTTCTCAGCTTGAGTCTTATCCTGCAGCTCATCTTTTTTAGCAAGTTCCAATTTAGCAAAAGCATTCCTAGCCTTCCCTGTTTCATGGAAAGCTTTCTGGTCCCCGGCAATCAGGTTGGTATGACTTACTGTCCCAAACTGGGAATGTTGTGGCCAGGTTTTCCAGTCTGTCTGGGCACTCTGTTCCAACATGGATTTCATCTCTACCTGCAAGTCCTCATTTCAACCTGTTTAGGGAAACTTTCAAATGCCACCTAAAATCCTTCTGTAAAGGCTCCAACTCTTGTTTTAGAGCATATTTAATATTCTGTGGGCTGTGAGCACCTCCCTCATTTCTCCAGCTTGGGTCAACAGGAATGTCAGCTTGCAGTGTCTCTCTTTGACAGTCACATCCCAGACATGATATCAGTATTGTTCCCTTGCCTGCTCCCCAACTCCCTTTTTAAATCTGAGTGATTAGTAACATTTTTGGCCCTGTGACAAGTTGCAAGGAAAAATTAATCACAGAGACAGGCATAATTTGATTAAAGCTACTAAAACAATGTCAGCCTGAGTTGGAACAGTATTACACCAGTGCTGCACTAAGATGGATATGCTACTCCTTGTTCAGGAGCCCACCTGATCTGGATGTGGTTTGGCTCCCTTAGTATTGCTGTCTTATTGCAACGTTATGCATTTGCCAATAAGACAGCCATTTGCCACCCATCCCCTAATTTAAGAGATGGCATATCCAGAGATGCTGCTGCTCCTTTCATTACAGTGCTGCCTGGCACGATACTGAGGTGATGACATGTTTTCCTAGGACCAACATTTCTAAACTGAGACAAAATCCCAGTTTTAAAAATTCCATCAGAATGCCAGCATGGTGTTGGTTGAGCTGGCCTTGCCTGGCCAAACCAGGACATTTGGTGGCTTTATCTCTGATGCCATCAGACTTGTATGCAAAGTCCCATTTCCCTGAACAGAACAGGAATCAAATAACAGGAGAACTTTCTTTGCCTGTGGCTCCAAACCTCTTTTATCCAGCACTCAGCCCAGAATCTCAACTTCATTTCAAACCTACGTTTCATGATGTTTCTGGGCCTGTCAGATACTTCCTTGCTGCTTCCCGTCTTGACTTTTCTGCTCTTTCTGTCTCTTTCACAGACATACTTTTTCCTCTCCACCCTTTGTTTAGAGCAGTGGCATGTGCCTGTGTTGGGGATGGAGCTGCCTCTTGTTAAAGATGCCTAGTTACATAAAGGAGCTTAATGACTTCTTACTGTAAGCATATGAGAAGAGGATGGTGGCAACCACCCCAGTTTCAATGAAGTTTAACTTAACTTGTTACAAAATATTAGCAGTGTCTGGCATAGATGGCCAGGAGGCTGGCTTGTTTATGAGACCTGGCAGGAATGAGTGGGGTCACATTAACCTGTTTCTGCACATTTCCCTTGGACAGATTCCAAAGGCTCATGATGAGTAGCTGCTACTCCTGCTTCCGCTCATCTCTGCCCAGGCCTCCTTGAAATAGTGATGACCATAGAACGGGCAGCTACAATTTTCCTGGGAAACAAATATGCCAGAAGAAAGCAGTGACGCCAGTGGAGGAATGGAAACTATGAGCTTTCCAGATAATTACAGATGCTTAATTTGTGTGCATAGTGCCTAGAGATCACAGTGGTGGGCACTCTGGATATGCAACAGGGAATAAAGACAGGATTGGGATGGCAGGGGGTGCTGTTTAATTCATGCACCAGCTGCTTAGGTACCATGATGATAGGCAGAGTGTATATGCAATAGACAGAAAGGCAGGCCTGGAGGGGTGTTGGTGAAACTGTGCTTGGAGAAGCTTACACAAATTATATTTCAAGTCTCAGTTCTGGTCTGCAAGCCAATTTAGGCATGCCAGTGGAGGCGCTCTTAAATTTAGTGTGTATTGGTTTAGTTTGCACCTTCCAATCCCAGCCAATTAAACGTTAAGTTACAGGTGCAAACCTGGTTTGCATCAGTTTTGTTTTGTCCACTCTGGGGGTTGCCCTGTTGTACATCTGTTTAATCTATTTAAGTTAATCCAATGCAACATCTGCATGTAGACAAGTCCTCAAAAACAGGCAGAGATCCCATGATAGAGAATGAGATGAGGAAGCCAGGCCAAGCTGGGGGCTTAGATGGGGACTGAGGCTTAGGATCTCTTTGGAGTTCCTCAAGCAAAAGAAAAAGCTATGTGCGCTATGCATGTGTATAACACTGCAGTGCCTGCTGTCTGGCTCTGTCTACTTGGGGGAGCTTTCACATCTGGAAGTGATTTATTTTGGTGGTGAGTGAGAGGGCAAGGGGCTGGGAGCTGCAGGGAAGGAGGTGTTGTTGTTGAAGAGTTTATCATGAAGTCTTTCTTCAAGGCGGGATCCCAAGGCTTGGTTCAGAAGACCCCCATCTCAGCCTACATACTGGATTTTCAAGATGGTTTGAATTCCATTTTGCCATTTTGAGCTGAAGGTGCGGGGAGGGGGGGACATTCTTACGCCAAGAATTCCCAAGATTTTTAAAAACTACTTAGCAATTTGGGTGCTCGGACAGAGACACTTTAAAGTGCTGAGCTCCTCCTCTCTGAAAATTGGGTACCTTCAAGGTGACTCACATCAGGCTCCCAAATGTCAGCAAACTCTGTAAAAAAAAAAAAAATGCCAAATTTGTTTACAAGCAAAAGTGGCCCTCCTTTAACAGAAGGTGTAATCATCAGGTTGTTTAGCTAAATTGTTGCAGAAGGCAAGGTGGACACTTTGGCTTCCATATAAACCCGGGACATTTCAGAATAGCTCTAATTAGTTCAGTGCTCAATACTGTAGCAATTGGCAGCCCTATAAAGTTTCAGGCTCCTGAGCAGGATGACCCACAGAACATGTCAAGCTGTCCTGATTTAAAATAGCTGCAAACATATGATTCAGTCCCTTATAATGACTGATGCCCAGCCCAACAGTGACAGATTTACCCCGGATGAATCAGGGCTATATTTGCCAGACTTTCAAGATGCCTGCCTATAAACACCTGCTCACTCCTCATGTTTTAATGTGCATGGCTCCAGGTTTAAGCCCTGTATTCATATGAGTCTGTAGCCTAAGTGCCTTAGGAGCTGAAGTCTGATTTCTAATGTGACATTGACATTTAGGAGTCATGCCTGTGAGCTTCACTGAAAGGCATTTTTTCCATAATTTTATTCAATCTGCACAGCAGGTGCAAAGGAACCCGAGGCCAAATCCATCCATGGTGAAAACCCACTACTATTAAGTTACACCTGGGAGAAAGCAGGGGAGACTTGCAGACTGTATAGCTGTAGAGTGCGGGTAGCTTGCATTACACCTGCTCTTGCAAGAAGGGACTGAGTCCCTCCATGTTTTGCTCCCTTTCTGACCCTCGCCTGTCTGTGCTGAATGCATGACTGAAAAGAAAACTGGAGCATAAAGGAAAGCCGTAAATCTGCCTGGACGCTGTTGGGGAAATGATTCCCGGAGGAGTCTCTTTTGCTTTGGGCTGCTGCATTCTGATTCTTAAAAGCTTTGGCCCACAGATAAAAAGCTTAGCATCTAATCCCATCCCAGAGGAACGCCATACAGAGACTGCCTCAAGACCACCTCCATTCGCCTCAGATTTTCTCCCTCTCCTCTCACACCTTCCATTTGTTTTTCCTCCTTTCATTTACTTTTCCCTCACTCCATTATTCTGTCCATTTCCTTGCTTCTCTCTCTGTTCCTCCACCTGCTTGGGGAAGGCCATGCTAATTGCTTCTGCAGATGGCAGTGGCCCCAGGCAGAACACCCAGAGGTTTGTTGTCTGGACTTGGATCAGGTTAATTTACGCTTGTGTGTTTAACCTGGCCAAAACTTCCCCTCCTTTCCCCTCCCCAAAACATAAAAACAGATGACATGTGTTTTGAGTTATTGCTTCTGATGTTGCTTTCCTGGCCCATGCTGCCACTTTAAATAGCTCTTCGTTCCCCTGAAAGGCAGTGGGGCTTTGTGGGTTGGCTAGCTCAGAGCAGTGGCCTGATAGTGCCTGAGGACTTCATCAGTGGAAAGTTTCCCAGCAGACCAAGTTGCATGGGGTTCCCTTGGCATATCTTACAGTGAATTTCAAGGTAATTCAAAGCTTTCTTAGACTGGTGCCTTTTGCTTGAGTTCCAGCTGGGCAGCTTTACCAAGGAAGTGCCTTGCGAGTCACAGCTCCATCTGGAGCAGTGTGAGGCTCAGAGCAGTAGTCTCTGCCAGTAAGAACTATGGCACTGGCAGTGTGAGATTCCAGGCACCAGTTCTGTGACAACACCAGATGTTGTGCCAGATGTGGAAGCTTCCTTGTGGTAGTGCCGAGAGCCATTTAGTTATCTTCCAAGAGAATGTAATGTTCAGCTCTTGCCAACACTTGCCAAGAACCTGGGTCATGCCCTAGTGCCTGAAGATGCTGGGGCAAGAGGGGAAAGCAGGACTGGCATTGGAAAGGAGAGGCCAGCTGTGTTTAAAAGCTGGATTGAGATGGGGTGGTGGGAAATCTCTGGAAAGCAATGAGCAACATCATGGAAAGGCTACAACATCATGATAGGCACTAGAGCATGGAGTCCCCTTGATCACATAGCAGTGTCAGAGCATCATTTTGCTCAGCAGTAGAATGAGGGTATAAGAGGAGATGCCATTGATTTAATCTCACTCATCCTCCTAGTGTTCCCCTTGGTTTCTGTGAGCAGGGAGAAGCCCACCCTCATGGACTGTGGTGGGGGCAATGTCATCTCTATACCCTGCCTCCTGCATCCTCCCGGAGCTCCTCTACTACAACTGCTCTCCAGGGTTCTAACTCCATCATGGGACCAGGGAAAGGGGGTGGCTGTGCTCTACCAGATTCTCCTCCCTTCTAACCCAACAGAGTAAATCTGTCTGAGATCCTGCTTCCAATGCAGGGGGAGTGGGGCCAAGTCCACTGTTTTCCCTCAGCTGCCTTTGTGTTATGTATCCTGGCATTCCTCACTTCTGTGTGATTTATCTTACAAGGTTTCCTCTCTCCTACCATCCTGCAGGTGTGTTTGACAATTGCTCCCATGCAGTCAGCAACAAGGGCTGGGCCCTGGGAATTCACTTGTGGCAGCACCTAGGGAAGAAAGATGCCCGCTTCTTTTTCTCTCTCAGGACAGACCGGATGAAGAGAGCCACTGTAGTTTCTGGGTACCACCGATATCGACCCAATACCTGGACCCATGTGGCTGCTACGTATGATGGGCAGTGGATGACTCTGTACCTGGATGGGGTGCGGGTGGGCAGAAATGACCAGCAAGCAGGTGCCTTGCACAGTGCCTTCATGGCCTCCTGCCGCACCTTGATTCTGGGAGGGGACACTTCTGAGGATGGGCATAACTTCCGTGGGCACCTCATGTCCCTGGCTCTCTGGAACATAGCCCTGCCCCAGGACAGGCTTCAGCGTGGCTTCTTACAGGTGGCTGAGGGTGGGGATGCTGCCTTGGTGCTCAGCACTAGCTTTGCCCGCCTGGAGGAGCAGTGGGTAACATTCAAAGATGAGGTTTACCCTCTGCTTGAGAACCTCCCGATGCCGGAACCTGATGTTCTCTTTCCACTAGCACCCCCTGAATGTGGGCAAACTGTCTGTGACAATGTGGAGTTGATCTCCCACTACAACAGGCATTGGCCGCTGCGCAGTGAGAAGATGGTCCGTTACCGCGTGGTCAACATCCATGATGACCGTGGGCTCCAACCTACCGTCAGCCGGGAGCAGATCTCACGTCAGCACCAGGCCCTGAGTGAAGCCTTCAGTCGTTACAACATCACCTGGCAGCTGACTCTCCATGAGGTCTACAACTCTTCATTGCGCCACCGCACGGTCCTGGTCAACTGTGAGCCCAGCAAGATTGGCAATGACCACTGTGACCCTGAATGCGAGCACCCTCTGACTGGCTATGATGGGGGTGACTGTCGCCTGCAAGGGCGTTGCTTCTCCTGGAAGAGGCGGGATGGTATCTGCCACATGGAGTGCAACAACATGCTCGATGACTTTGATGATGGAGATTGCTGTGACCCCCAGGTGACTGATGTCAGGAAGACCTGCTTTGACCCTGACTCACCTGAACGGTAAGCTGGGGGAGGTTTGTGGCCAGGGTAGACACAGGTTTGAAGTTCCCACACAACTAAGCCAGTGCAACCATACTCTGGAAATCAGTACCCCATGGTGTTCCAGTCTTGGGCTCCCAGTCTACCCCCGAGCTCTGTCAGTGAACCTCTGGGTGCATCCACCCCACCCATGCCCCTTCATGTTTGTTCCTGGGTTCCTGTTGCCCACAGTTCTTCCAGGTCCTGCCCCTTAGCAGCCCCTGTCCTTAGCTGGAGCTCTTCAAAGTAATCTGATTCCTGACCTGCCATTTGTCCACCACTGTTGTGAGACATCTCCATCCTCACCCAGCCTCCAAATCTATCTTGGTGCACTTTATTCCTGATTTGCAGTATTTCTGCTGTTCCAGTTCTGAGCCTGGGTTCTGAGAGAAGATTACCATTTACTCACTTTGCAGTGGTGTTTTTTGTTGTTCCTGTTGTTGTTGTGAATCGTGCATAAATATCTAGTAAGTCAGAAGAGTCAAAGGTCTACTTGGACCAAATGGCCCATTTGGCTAGCATGGCGAAGAGGGACAGTTTCTGTAGCCAGCAGCATACAGGGGATTGAAATGACTGGCATCATGTCCAGAGGGTTTTGTCTCCCCAAACTGAATGACTGTGTCCCCATTTACAGCTGGATTGACTGGGATCAGCCTGCAGTAGACGCTCAAAGCAAGCTTCAGACCTGTGAAGCTATTGCAAGATGCCTTCACTGCTCTGCCACCCACTGCATTTGATGAGACCTAGAAAATGCATCTCACTTTCTATGTAACTGAGACCTGTAACCAGGTCACCAGAGATGAGAACTGAGCATCCAGGGAGAGAACTTGTCTAATTTAGGGCTCCCCTGGTTCACTTGTTGTCTGCTTGCTGCTTTGCATTGTGGCAGGCAAAATGCTAGGGCAGCACAGAAAAGCCAGATTGTGCTAATGAATCACTCTTTCTTTTTGTTTAAATGAGCAATGGAGATAGAGGGAGGATTCCATACACACATCTTCAGCAATATCCGTAGTCATCTTTAATAATTTTCCCCTTCAGTCAGTCAGATCTTCTCGGCGCAAGTGTCTTTGGAGTGGAATTTCCTTGGCACATTTTTTTAATTTCTTCTTTAAAAAAAAAAGAAAAGAAAAGAGAGAATAGTAGGAACTTCAACTCTCTGGAGTTTCTAAGTTCTGCAGAAAAGCTGGCAATAGCACGACCTAATGTCATTATGTGAAAACATATGGTGACACCCCATATCCTCGCATAATGCCCTATCCCACGCTTAAAGGGGAAGGGCCTTATTATTCCTTAAGAACTCCAGGAGACAAAGCCGAAGTCCTGTCAGAGCAGGGCCCCTCCTGGAAGTTGTGCAAGGTCCTAACTCCTTTCCCAGGCCCCTTGACCTGGGTCCTGTGCATCTACACCTTCTTCCAGAGGCAAGCAGTGTAGAGTGGGGAGAGGAAATAGATTCTACCCCCTTCCCCCCCCCCCATCTCTTTTTTTTAACTGAGTGGGGTTGACTCCCACTGAGCCCATTACTTCTCTGAGAAGCCTCACAGGCCACAGTTATCCATACAGAGGGCCCATATTTGGACTAACCTCTCCCCAAGCTCCTTGGCAGCTTGGCTGCTAAATGCAACACCATCAGTCTGGTTGTAAGAGGTGTCTTTTTCCAGCTGTCTCCGCAGGGCACTTGGTGTTGTGCCAGTATTGGAGCAGCCACCATTAATCATTATTGCTGCTATTATTATTACTTACTAGCATGGGGCCAGCAGCATGCTAGCTGGTGGGAACCCAACAGCCTTGCAGGAGGGGCCAGGAATCCTTGAAAGTGCCCTAGGTTGCCTTCCCCGTGGGCATCTTCTCTGGCTTATCAAGTTTCCATCTTTTCCTTTTGCGCCCCCAACCCCCCAGGAGGGGGAGCCTTCAGAATATGGAGGCAATTGGGGAGGTGGAGAAGACAGGGGTACAGACAGTAAAGGGCAGCATATGCAGCAGCCATCTCTTGCCCGTTCCATCCATTCCTAAGGCTCCAGTGGCATCAGCATGAGGCTTTTATCCAGACACCCCCTAGCCTGTTTGCACCTTCAGGTCTTGTTGACCAGGCAGTCAGGATAGCTGAGCAGCCCTGGACAACCTGCAGTAGCCCTGTGCTTTACAGGCTAAGGGCTAGAGACTGATCCCTTGAGCTATGTTAAACAGCATCAGGTACTGCAGAGTTGCTTTATTGTCTTCAAATGGGGAAACAAGGAGGCCTAGAGCAAGGCACTACTCAGAGTATGTGAGTGTGTCAAAATCGAGCCCCTTGTGAAAATCTTTGTGGGAATTGTCCTTGATGAGACACCCAGTGGTTCTGACCAAAGCCACATGTTGCCAGTGTGCTCTGAGACACTTCTTTCCCTGATAAATGTCTGCTTTTGGTCTCCAACTGTGTTGGCACTCAGCAGTGTCACTATTAAGGGGTGAGCAGGACACCAGCTTAGGGCACCAACTTAAGAGAGGGTGCTGATATGGCTCCCTCCCCTGAATCTTTGCATGGCAGGCACAGCCCTGTGCTGCCTGGCTATTTGAACTGGGCAGGTGCCCCCATATCCAATAATGTATCTTGTAGGGGAGGGAGATAAAGTGATGTTCTCCCTGCCAGGGAGGCTTTGCCCTGAACCCTGCTGAGTGGGGTGTCCCCAGTGCTGCCTGTCCCTCAATCACAGCTCTCCTCCCACTCTCTCTTCTTCTCTCTCCTACAACCTGCTCTTCAGTAGTCAGCATAATTCAAGGCCTTGCCTCTCACTTCCAGCTCCAGGTGCTGAAAGAACTTGTGATGCCTCTTGTAGTGATGGAGTACTTTTTAAAAAGAAAAGAGCATGTGTTGTTTTCTGATGGGGAACTATCATTTCTTCTCTGTTCATGAAAACAAAGGGGTTTGCTTGAACTTAGGTTCTGTTCAGAGGTAATCTTTAAATCTGGTGCATATCAACCAGAAAAGGGGAGCTATCAAGTTGTCTTCAATAGAGTTATCCCTCTGCTTTGGTTGGGAGCTGAGATGCAGCCTTATCTGAAGGAGAGAGTGATAGGGAATGCAGAGACACCTTTAGGGACCCATTGGACCCAGTCTTCCTTGCTGTGTCCTGGGCTTGTGTCCTGCACCCCTGGATGTTGAACATTATCCTTGTTCTGCTCTTCCTGCTATCTTTGAATGGGGTGCAAGTGACTTCACTGGACTTGAAGCAGTGGGGAACCAAGGCCTGTAGCCTTATCAACGCAGCCTATGTTTTCAAAAGTGCCCAGCCACTTTGGGAGCCTTGGTATTGCGAGGTTGAACTGGAGAACAGTTAAAAGGGAGAAATTTTCAGAAAGTGTGAGCCTCCTCTTCCTCTGTATATCTGGGTCTCTACTTGCACACCCAGCATTTCTAGTTACTCTTGAACTGCATATAGTCTCTGACAAAATTGTGTTGGTTGAAATGTGAAGCAAGCAAGGCCCTTCAAAACCAAGCCCCAGCACACAGGCTTCAGAGCACATCATAAGGCATACACTCCTGTGCAAAGAGAGGATTAATGCATGTGCCACCCAAGTGGCAGATCCACTGCCGTCATTGTGCCGATGATGGTGATGGATGGATGTGATATTTGAATGCTTGGCTAGGGGACCTTGGCCACCCTGCTCTTGTGAGTGATGAGATGAAACTGGCACTTGCACAAATCTCCCAGAGTCAACAAACAAAGCCATGACAAAAGCAGCCCTTTGCTTCCCGATTCTCCTCAGTATTCTCGCGATCAGAGAGGAGCTGAGCCCAGCGCACCTTCTGTTCTTGGAAGCCTGTCAGTTGCCCTGTCCAATGTACTTTTTTGATGGGGATGGGGAGGATACTGCCATGTTTTGTTTAGTCCTCTTATCAAGTTGGAGTCAACTGTTCCCTTTGTATTGGCCCATGTGTGTGTAAATGAGTGTGTGTGGACCTGGCTCTCTGTTGGAGGGGTTTTCGGTTGCACTGGCTACTTGTTAGGGTGATGTGAGCAGGTCTCAGTCATTCCTGATTGAAAGCTCCATCTAAGTGGTGGATGCAGTGAGGACTGTAGGATTCACAACAGACAGGACCTGATGGGATGAGGTTCAAGATAGGGCTTCTAGGGGCAAGTACTTCATCTCCCGTCTTCCTCTCAAGCAGCTCTGCCAGCTGGGCCATGGGGTCACATGGGTGCTGGCCCAGCTCAGTTTCATTCATAAGTCAGTTTTTTTATGTATTGTCTGAAGGGCACCTATCACAAGTGGAAATATAAGGTAGACAGAAACGGAAAGCGGGCATTTGAAAGGTAATGGTTGGGAGATGGGTCAGAGGAAAAGAGAGCAGACCCTCCTAACCTTTGGCTTTCCTTACTCTTCTCCTTGCTTCTTGTTTCACTGGACTAAGAAAATAGAAGGAGAAGACAAAAGAGCCTTTCTCCTTATGTTCACCTGTCCCCATAGTGCTCACTTGAGTAATACCGCTGGAATTCTGTTAGAGCCACTCATCTTGAGAACGTCCTCCTGTGACGGAAACCTTCCAGATGTCCTGTCTCTCAGGCTTTATGTTTTCAGAGTGCTCTTCAAGCATTAATTAATTCATCCTTGTTGTACTCTTATGAGATATTGTAGTCATTCAAGGATCCCAGGGCATTTTCCCAACAGCAGGAAAAATAAACCTGGTATCCTGGTTAAATGCCAGGACAATAATTCTGCCAACCTGAATTCCCTTGATTTGCTTTCTGCTCTCAGGTAGTTGTGTCATGTTGCTGGGCACTGTCCAATGGCATTCTGCCTGCAGAAGTGGCTGGTGTGTTGGAGGTGATGGACTAATTCTTATTGTTTGTGGATAGTTAGCCAAGTGCTTTGATTCTTTGAGACAAAAGGTCTATCTTAAATCAAAGGGGTGTATATTGGTGCTGTTCCGTTGAAGTCAGTGACCAAATACCAGCGTGTGCACAAGCAGAGAAGTTAGCCCTGCTGTTTTTTAAGGGAGTACTTCTG